ATAATAATAATTATATATATTATTATAAATATATTTTTATAGTGGAAACTATTCGTAAGGCTAAATTAAAAGAAGCACGTGAAAAGAGTATTCCTGCTTCTCCAAAATGCAAAAACATAACACCTCCAAAAAATAAAAAGACATCATTTTCAACAAAAAGTTTTTGAACAGTATTATCTTCTAGTAATACGATTAATACAACTAACAATAATAACTTTCACCAATCTTTATTAGATAAAAATTCATCTTTTACTGAATCATCTGATGAAAATAGTACATCTTTAATTAATAAGCAAACCACATCTACTACTACTTTACCAAATAGAGGATTTCAGTCTGCACTACCTATAAATAAAAGTGATTATTTAGCTGGTAATTATTTTATTTATTTTAAAAAATAATATATTTTATTTTATATATTTATGTTTTAAACTTTTAATACAATCGAAGATGATGATAATAACGATACTCAACAATCATTTAATATAATCGAAGATAACAATAATAATAATACTCAACCTTTTAATGCAATCGAAGATAATAATAATAATAATATTATTATTCAGCAATATTCTGGTAAGAAAATAATTGAAGTTGATGATAACAATGATACTCAACAACATTCAGGTAAAAATTAATTAATTAATTTATTTTTTAAAAAAATAAATATAAAATTTTGTAATATATTTTTTTTATTTAATAAAGATACTCAAGTGATGTCTGATAATACACTTAATAATTCTATTTTGAAATCTAAAAAAAATGGTATATATATTTATTTAAAACAATATAATTTATAATAATTATATAATATTATATATATAATAAAATTAATTTTTTTATATAAAAAAAAAAGACCAACTCAATTAATACGCTCAACTCGTTCAACGACAAAAAAAAGTCAACTAAAAAAGCTGCAACAGTATCAAAAAAAACAAACAAGCAATAAATCAAAAAAATGAAATATTAAATATGTACATATATATTATTTTTAATTATTAAATTATATACTAATTTTATATTATAAAATTAATTAAATTATTTAAAACAGAATAT